CTGTTGCATACTCTTCAGATACAGAATTCTTAACTTGTATAATTATACAGGATATAGTAGCAATGTCTAAACCTACAAGAGTGTCTATTGAAGTGTTAGAAGCACTTGTTGAATCTATATATATTATTAAATCTCTCTTAATATTGATAATAAGCCTATTTAAAATTCTATATAAAAAATAACACAAAAGTAAAAGTTGTTTTTTTTATCTGTAATTGTAAATCTTTATTTTTTAAATATGAACTAGCTGACAAATACAGCTCTTTAAAAAAAAGCTTTAATTTTGTATCCTCTCCTATAACTACTCAAAATTTATCAAATAAATATATTGGCAGTATATTTTCTTTTTTTCATGAATATAAAGAATATCTGTTATAATCTTTACTGCTTTAGAAAAAGATAATAGATTATTCTTAGTTTTATCAGTCTTGGCAGCTTCAGATTACTTAGCATTCTCAATCTCAATAATTTCAATTTTAGATTATTGTATACTGGTTTAAGCATGTTGTTAAAAAGCTATTAAACAATTTACTACAATTCTATTATAACAGTTTAGACAAAGTAAATCACCTATTTTTAAATAATCTTGCAAAGTTTTGTTAGTTTGGCCTTTTGAAATAATGTTTTCAGTTAACTTTTTCTACTTTACTGATTGCTTGCTTTGGCAAAATGTAATAGTACACCTAGTCATCTTTGCTTCTAAGTAAAGTCTTCATTTGAGATTATTTTGGGATTATTTTGCATAGTGAAGAACAACGCTTTTCTGAAACTAATTATAAAAAAAAAGATTTATCTTTCAAATGGTGAAATGTTACAGTTTGAAAAAGTACTTTAAACTGTATAAATTAGTTACCTGGGTAATTGATTCAGATCAGCCAATCAGAAGCTTGTCCTCCTATGACTCCCATGCTAATCAATTTAAGGGTACTATAAAAGAGGATGCGATATACTAATTTAGGCACTTTTACTCTAACTACTAAAAACTGGTACGTATTAACAAGAAACTATTACGGGAACAAGACAAATTCGATTTTCAACAAGACAATTTATAACAACGATTTTATAACAAAAACGATTTAGAGGAAAGGTTTTTATTCTTAGGCACTTCTACTTTAATTATTTTCGAAGTTTAGAACTTCAAGAGTTGCTTTATTGAAGGTAAAATTTCTATTCTATATATACTTTCCGTTAATACATGATTGAATAAGTAGTATAATAATAATATCTATTACTATTACTATTTATCCCAGTTATGCTTTTGCTATTACTTATCAACTAGTAACCATTATTTTATTACCACGAATCTTGGTTACTAGGTTATTCTACCTTATTGGATTAATTTCGCAAATTCACCGATTTCCATAAATTTCGGGAATTTCGTGAATTTGTGTTACGTCGGATCCGAGGTGGCGATTTCCCCTTCACGCTGAGAAGGTGTGAACCGGTTCTGGTACGGAACTCGTCCGGAGGTTCTTGATTACACCTAGGTTCGTAGTTCCACAAATCAACAAACAAACACTACAAATCCAACAATCAACCCTAAATTGGAAGGCTGAAAGAGGTCGTGGAGGATTTGGTCCGGGTTTTAGGATTGCAAAGTGGATTTCTTTAGGTAGGTGTTCTTGGGCTTTTATTCCAGGGATTTCGGTGATGGTCTTTCGAGTTCTTTATACTTTTGAGATGAATTATGTGGCACGTGATCTGGTCCTCTTTGCGATTGGTAATTGATTTTTAACAATGGGAATCTATAAGACTAACTAAGGGGTGATTGACTTATTGTTGGCCTTAATTTGATATGTATTTTGATTTATCACGGGGTTTTAACAATAACGATTCTTTTAACAATGACGAATTTATGACACCAAACTTCTACTCGAATTTCGAAGTGTTGGTTCTTGACAGTTCGAACTTTATTAGAGTTTATTTATTCCAACTTAGTAAGTTGTTATTTTTGAACTCCGAAAGTTATTTTTATTAAAGGAAATTCGAATCACTTATATACATAATTTTTATTAATACAGGATAACGGAAATAAAGAAAAACATAAAAAAAATAGAAATCCGGGAAATCTGGGGGATCAGGGAAATCCGGGCTAGGATTTCTAAGATTTGGTGGATTTGGCGAATTTTAGAGATCTTGGCCAGGATTGTTAGGATTTTTAGGATCAGGGCGATTTCAGAGACGGAAAGGCGAAGTAATTTTGTAAAGCCCCAAGATCTTCAAGAATTTCGGTCAGGGTAACTCGGATTATGAGTACTTCCGGGGTTACCAGATTTGACCTTTACAACGTCCTCAAATGTCTGCACCTATAACAGTGATCAATGGTGTCACGTGAAGTTGTCTGTCTGTTGATTGATGATAATTTATGATGAGGCTGACGTGCGTCACAAAGCCTCCAGTGGCTGTGGCTTAGATGACACTAACGGCCCGTTAATGTCCTAAAGACACAGAAGAGTGTCCTACGAACACTAGTGTTGTCAGGACATTGAGAAGTGTCCTCCAATTAATCAAAATGTATAAAAGCACCGTTAATAAAAGACAATAACTAATAAAGTTCATGTTCTCATAATTAAAATAATGAATTGTCTTTCACGTCCCAAATTGTTAAATGAAACACTATCGTACCCAACCTTAAAGTTACTAAATCACGCATACACTGTGTGCTGCTTTCCCAACCAGTTGTAACACCGGACATATAATGCTACATATGCACTACCTAGTTTTAAAGATTTTAAACAGAATGTACATTGCTTATTAAAATATATGATTGATAGAAATTTAAATCTCAGAAATTTCTCTTTTTGCAAAATAATATAATTAGTAATTCGCAAATAAATGAGAACACCAATAAGGAAATTTTAGATATAGTACAAATTCACCAACACGTATAAGGTATAAACATCTTTTGGGCTACGTATTAATAATCTTTGTACGTAGTTCTAATGGTATTGACAGATCACAGGATATAATAATAATAAATCTTATTATATTATTAGGAATGATAAATTTTAATATTTCTTTATAAAAAAAAATCACTCTATTGGCATTCTCATCTATTCGATAATCACATTGTTTTTAAATTTTACGAATGACTGACTTAACGTTGGGGTATCCAGTGTACTATGTAGATCAAAACTATATATAGTCCTATATGAAAATCGAATAGTAAAATTTTTCGTGTAACAATCGCGAATATCCGCAGTAAAATACTATAATTTTGAACAAAAAGTATTAATATTGCTAAAATATTTTAAATTAATAAAAAAAACTCTCCATTTTTCTAAAATATATATTCCGTCGAGCAACTGAGTGAAATTTTTTAATAAATTAATATGTAAGTTATGGAGGAGATACAATTCGAAATCTAGTAGTGTTTAATAGTCTTTTCATAAGAAAAATATCAAATTTCAAATCGTATCTCCTCAAAACTTTACATATTAACTTGACTAGAAATCTTACCAAATTAATCTTTGAACTTCAAATTTGAATAAAATGGAGTGCTTTTTTAAAAAAATTTTTTTATTAAAAATTTATTTAATTTACCAGATATACTTAATGATTTCACGTGGTTACACGAAGCTGTAATAATTTATTACTGTAACTATAGTGGATTTAGCAGCCATAAAGGATGATATCGATATTTAAATAAAAGATGACCTGTCATCTACATAACTTTTTAATGTATGTAAAGTTAATATTAAACAGTAAACTCATAATAGTTAGTAAAGTAGGAGACCTTCCGGGTAGAGTTCTTACCCGTACTGACCCGGGTTATAACTCGGGTCGGGTCAAACGGAAATTCATAAAGTTTTTTGATGTAACGATACTTTAATTAGGGCTGTTAGTATAGAGAACAGCTGTACTCCAATTATTTAAATTGGATTTTGTATTGAAAAAAATTTTCAATCTTGCTCGTGATTTGAGTTTGCCCATTTTCTACACCGGGAAATACGTAGAAGCTGACCTGTATGGGTTAGATGACCCGGGTAAGAGCTTTACTATTTAGTAACTATAATGTCTTCTACCTATATGCGTAGTACTGTAATATTAGTGTTTTAAATTCAAACCTGTTTAGAGCAATTTTCGACCCGTGGCCCGTATGGGTCAATCGACCCAGAAATTTGAGTAATCGATGATAGTAAATTGGAAATTGAGAGATAATAATGGGAGAAATGACTTTGTTCTTTCTCTAAACAATAGTCACAAAGTGTAAGGCAAGTCATCAAATTGAAAATTTCGGGTTTATGATTGGTAACCGGTTGGGACAGTATCATGAAAATGTTTGTAATGACCTGTCTGAAAGCTAATCATATTAGGGAATAAAGTGCTAATTCCCTAGAGCTATTGTGAGTAAATAAAATAATAGAAACGATCAAAAAACAGTAGTAAAATCTTATTTTCTAAATGTTATTTGTGACTTTTATTAGAGATGAGTCTTTTGTTTCCCGTCGCATAGGCCGTTCGATTTAATGATTTTCAGACAAAAACAAAATATTTTGCTAAACTGATAGTGGTAAGGTACGTACTGTTTGATTTGCATGCTACTATTTAATTTTGGCATAGATTTGATGGACCATAGGAAAGAGTGACTAGACTTATACATTTTCGGAGATTTTTCATTTGAAAGATCACCGAAAATGTATAAGCCTAAACGCTCCAAAAAAGGTCATAGCTGTTTGTTTTATTAAATTAGTACTCGCTGAAATAAAATTTTAGACAATGTATCTTTAGAACAGATGTTTGTTCATTTTTTTTTGTTTGATTTTTATTGATATCATTTAAAAATATTTAAGAATGCTTTTGTATGATCATCAGTAATGATTTTATTAAATAAAGCAATTATATGTACTTCGATAATTAAAATCTGCTTGCACGAAATTGTTTGTTAAAATGTAATAAATAACGCTCGTTTTTCTGCGATTCAATGTAGAGTTAGTAACTATATCATTTAAATAAATATCTATATCTAACTTTCATAAATTCGAAACTAAAAATTTACAATGCCAAAATTATCAAAGCAAAAGCGCCATTTACAAAACTTAAATCAGCAGAATTTGACGCTCAAAATTTTTAAAATAATTACCAATTTTGATCACGAATATCTCCCAGAAATTCATAAAATCCTTACCAGTATTACAAATAACACTCGAGAAGAAGAAATGTTTCAATCGATACGTGAAATGCCAGAACAGCAAAAAGCAAACGCGTTAAAGCTTTTTGATACAATGCGAAATCCAAGAGGCAAACATGCTAATGAAATCATTTCGCCTTACCTTCAAAAAAAGGCTCTTGAATTTATTACAGAGCATCCAAAAAATCAAGTTAAAAAATTAAAGGCTGAAAATATCGAGTTAAAGTTAGTAAATAGAAGGTTAAAGCGAAATAATAAAAAACTAGTACACAAAATCCAGTCAATAGGTAGAGTAAAATTAAAAATTACATTTTACATACATTTTATAAGTTTTGTCCATGTGATTCAAATCAATAACAATAATGTTTATACCATATCAGGTAGTTCAAACAGACATCTTCAAAACAAAGTTGAAAATCGAATTTCAACTATTCGGTCTTTAATAAGAAAATCGAAGCAAATTCCCCATAATGAATTTAAGCGTCAAATTAATCTGTTATTTAAAACAAATAATCGTGAATATTCACCTCAAATGGTCTGGCTTTCAACCAAGATTTCGCAAATTGGACAAACTTCTTTAACCGCGACAGCTGAATCATTGCGACTGGTCTATGAATTCTTAACTGGTGAGCCCCCACAAAGATGGTTATCTGTAACGACCCTAAGTACTTGGCATCAAGAAGTTTCACAAATAGAAACTGAAGTTGCTATACATCAGGCTGCACAATGTTCACGATATGGAATCCTTGTAGACGAGTCAACTCGTGGAGAAAATAAGTATTTTGTAATATGTATTATGTTTTGGAACTATAAAAAACATACCGTCGGTTATTGTAGCCAACCTTGAGGATTTAGATACTTGTACGGGTCAAACGGTAGCAGATACCACTCTTAAAGCAATTACTAACTATGGACTTGATCCAAAAAAATGTTCAACATGGGTGACGGATAATACGGCCTATATGTCGGGTAATAAAAAAGGTGCAATTATTCAATTTAATAAAAAGGCAAATATAGATACAGTTAGAATCGGTTGTGGAATGCATATAATGCATATTGTTTTTTCGAATTTTGAAGAGACGGCATTCGGCAAGTCACCTTCATCGATTGGATTTTCAAGAACACCCCAACCATATAACCTCCTATACTTAGCTTGGTATCTCCACGATGGATATAACTCGAGTAATAAAGGAAAACCTCTTAATATGAAATCGGGTTGGATTCAAGAATTATACGATGGATTATTAGGGTATCATTTCTCTCAATACCAGTTGCCAATTCGAGGTCGTTGGGGATATGAATTGCTTGCTGCAAAGCAATATTTAACTCGGCGTGAAGCGCATATTGAATTTGCAAATTGGTTTATTCGAGAACTTGCAAATAACCGGAACACACCAGCTGCGTATCTTTCGGATTGGTATGTATAATATCTTTAATTAACTTAAATGCTTATTTTTAAATACATCTATTAATAAATTTCTTAATACTTACGAATTAGGCGTTTGTTTCGGGATTGGCTATTAAACGAAAAACTAAACATTCAGGTTCAGTGTTTAGTTACATTCGGTGAGCACTTATATGAACCATTAATGCAATTCATGGTTGGAAGAGACCAAATACCTCGTGTAAAATTAGATAATAATTTAACCCAACTTCCACCTGGTCGGCGTGCCCATGAAATGCCTGACAAGGTTAGTGAATGGATCGATTTTTTTTATGAACTTAAAGAAAACTTCGACATATTTTTTGGTGAAGAATTGCTAATGGCATTAGAAACTCTGAGTAATGATGACTTTGGTGAGCTTTTTGATAATTTGGAACAAGGAATAAATAGAGCACACGAAAGTTTTTTAAAATGGATGTCCCCGTGGGTCCATTTACCACTATCAATCTGCCGTTTGGGTGGAAATTCTAGCCATAAATTCGCGCGAGCATTCTATTATGTTGCTATGAAACAGTGGCTTTTGGAACCAACAGAGTGTGAAATAAGTTTAGCACAACAATTACATGACGATTTTGAGATAACTAGTAATACTTTCGGCCTTCAAGAAGAATTACTAGGTTCCTTAGAATTTAGGGACGAGTTCCAAAAATTTTGCCTTACTCCAAATTCCAAAATCTATGATTATAAATTATTATATAAATTCGTTAAAGAACGAATTTATTTCATTATAATCCACCAGCAGCAAGTGGAAGGGCTC